ATATTTGGTGGGGGCAGCTCCCAGATCGGATCTTCAGCTGGCCTGGTACCAGGTTTCCACCTTCCCCTCTCCCCTGAGGTGGTTATCCAACACAGTAACAGTCCAACTCAAAACAACTCTCAGTTGGACAGGTGTGCAGTGCCACCAGGGCGCTGCCCACAGGAGCCCCGGTGTGAGAGCTTCCTCAGTTGGGAACTGCTAAGGGAGAGGGAGTCGGGGCTTAAGTGTGGAGCCTAACAGAGAGACCTGGAGCTGGGAAATCTCCAAGCAAGAGAGGGAGATAGTACCCGGTGCTCAAGTCACAGGATGAACGATTACAGAAAGAGACTCGTGAGGTGCAGTCTCCCTGCAGGGACTGGCGGGTGGCACTCCCTGCTTCCAGGGACCCTGCACTAGGACCAGCCTTCCCACCCTGGCTACCTACCTCCACCATCCTGAGGGCAGAGACACCAGCTTACAACAGACGACCCCACCTATTGGATGAGAAGAGAAGCAGGAAAGATATGATCTCTAAAGCCAGCTACAACCCTGGTTTCTACCTTCCAGTATTTTTTTCTTCTTCTCTTTTTCTTCTCTCCCTCTATCCTCCAGACCTCATACCCCCAACATATGTGAGACCAAGAACTTTGCATGAAATAGGATTCTGAGGACTGAGTCATCTGAATAATATAAGATAGAGGTGTTGTATATGCCCTTATTTTTTCTTCTCTTTTTCTTTCTCCCTCCAAATTTCACTATTTTTACAACCTGTATTTTTCTAAATACATATGTGTGTTTGTTTTACATTCTCTACTGTCTTCCCACATACTTGTCTACCCTAAATTACTTCCTATCTATTCTCTTGCTACTAACCCTCTTCATTAGATATCTCTTTCACACTTCCTAAGATATATTAACTCTATATCCTCACCTCCTACCTCCTCAGCATATCATCCTATGCTCCACCCCTAGCTCATGGTCCACCATCAGAACTGTAAACCCTTCTACAAAACTACTGACTATATTATAGATAGTAATTGAATCCAGCATTTCTCTATATTGAGGCTAAACTGTTAACATCTTAATAACAACAAATTGTTCTCAGGTGGTATATTGTTGATATTGGGATCTGTTAATATTGTCCTTCCCCACAAAGGAGAGGTCTTGGAACCCTACAAGAGTACTGCAAACCTATAGGGTAAAAACAATAACACCCTAGACCCACAGAGCAGGAAAGGAAGACACACGAGCAACATGAAAAGACAAGGGAACAAAGTGCCCCAAACAAATCAAGACACCACATTACTGGAATCATTGGCAGACACAGCAGAAAAAATTACAGAGAAAGATTTCAGGATGTACATGGTTAAAATGTTCTGTGAACTCAAGGAAGATATAAGAGAGCAAATACAGGCAGTGAAAGATCACTTCGACAAGGATCTACATAAACAAATACAGGAAGCAAAAGATCACCTCAACAGGGAGATAGAGGTTCACAAAAAAAAAAAAAAACAAACAGAAATTCTTGAAATGAAAGAAATAATAAACCACATTAAAAGCTCAAATGAGGGCTGGGGATGTGGCTCAAGCGGTAGTGCGCTCGCCTGGCATGCATGTGGCCCTCAGCGTCACATATAAACAAAGATGTTGTATTCGCCAAAAACTAAAGAATAAATATTAAAAAAAAAATTCTCTCTCTCTCTACTCTCTACTCTCTCTTTAAAAAAAAAAAAAAAGCTCAAATGAAAACATCACCAACAGAGTAGACCACTTGGAAGATAGGACATAGACAAAGAAGACAAAATACATAATCTTGAAAAGAACATTGACCACACAGTGATAATGGTAAAAAACCATGAGCAGAACATTTAAGAAATATGGGATAGCATAAAAAGACCAAATTTAAGAGTTATTGGGATAGAGGAAGGTATAGAGGTCCAAACCAAAGGAATAAACAATCTATTTAATGAAATAATGTCTGAAAATTTTACAAACATGAAGAATGAATTGGAAATCCAAATTCAAGAAGCCTACAGGACTCTGAATGTACAAAATCACAGCAGATCCACACCAAGGCACATTATAATAAAAATGCCCAACATACAGAAAATGGAGAGAATTTTAAAAGCCACAAGAGAAAGGAATCAGATTACATATAGGGGAAAACCAATTAGGATAACAGCAGATTTTTCAACACAGACCTTGAAAGCTAGAAGATCCTGGAACAACATATATCAAGCTCTGAGAGAAAATGGATGCCAATCAAGAATCTTGTATCCAGCAAAATGAAGATTTAGATTTGATGATGAAATAAAAACCTTCCATGATAAAGAACAGACTAGTGGAACAGAACAAGGAATTCAGGAATAAGCCCACACATCTACAACCAACTGATTCTTGACAAAGGCACCAATGACATACTGAGAAACAACAGCTTCTTACATGAGGTGGTGCCAGGAAATTCAAATATCTGTGTGCAGTGAAACTTGGCCATTTCTCACCCTGTACAAGAAGATCAACTCAAAATGGATCAAAGACCCTAATGTAGGACTTGAAACCCTGAAACTATTTGAGAAACACTTAACACATTGGTACAGGAAATGATTTTCCAGACAGGACTTCAAAAGCACAGGAAACAAAAAGTAAAAAAATGGATACATGGGATCACATCAAACTAAAAGTCTGCACAGCAAAGGGAATAATCAATAGAATGAAGAGACAATGTACAGAATGGGAGAAAATCCTTCTAGTTATTCATCTGACAGGGTTAATATTGAGAATATATAAGGAAGTCAAAAAACTTAATAAAAAATAATTCAATTTTAAAATGGGCAAATGATCTGTATAGACAATTCTCAAAAGAAGACATACAAATGACCTATCATATGAAAAAATGCTCAATATCATTAACTATCCAAATTGAAATTATAATGAAATACCTTCTCACTTCAGTTAACATGGTGATGACCAAAAAAATAGAAGATAAAATCCCCAAATAACAAATTCTGGCAAGGAAATAGAGAACTTTTATGCACCATCAGTGGGGATGGAAAAACTACAGAGGTTCTTTAAAGTATATCTAGCATATTATCCAGGTATTCCACTCCTGAGTATATACTCTAAGGAAATGAAGTCGGTATAGAGGTACCTGCATACCCATGTTGTGGCACCATTGACAACAGCTAACATAGGGAATCAGCCTAGATGCCCATCAACAGGTGAATAGATACTGAAAATATGGCGTATATATACAATGAAGTGTTTGGCCATAAAGAAAAATGAAATTTTGTCATTTGTAGCAAAACAGATGGAGTTCATCATGTTAAGTGAAGTAAGTTAGATACAAAAAGACAAGTATCACATTTTCTATCTCAGGAGTGGAAACTACAAATCAAATCAAACTAAAAAGGGATTAGCGATTACTAGGGACTGAGAAATGTGCCTGGGACGGGGTGGGGAGATCAGGATCTATACATGCTGTATGCATTTGTGGAAAAAATCACAGTGAATCTTATTAATATGTACCATTAATGTATTAAAATATGAAGTCTGAAACAAAAAATTAAAAGAATAAGCAACATAATTTCTAGAGTTTCAATAAAAAACAGTTATAGTTACATGACCTATCACTCCATCTTTAATATTTTTTTAGATGTTGATGGACTTTCTTTTATTCATTTATTTATATGCAGTGCTGAGAATTGAACCCAATGCCTCACACATGCTAGGCAAGTGCTCTACCATTGAGCCACAACCCCAGCCCCATCAATCCATCTTTCATGTTTGCTGATCACGGTTCAGTCTCACCCCGCCATCTTCCTCTTCTGCCCCGTACTTGGGTAAACTGAGAAGAAAGCCTGGACTCTCCCTTCTTTGGCACCAGTGGGAATTTCAAACCACACAAGCCCCTGGCCACAAACCCTGGTGCACCACAATAAAACCCTCCAGCCAGTCTCCTTTCCTTGTCCTCCCAAGCTGCCCTGCTGGCTAGAAAGTTTCAAATTTTCTTGGGGTCTGTGTGGTGCCATAAGTCTCAATATCCAAAACCAAATTTTGTAGGCGGTGGGGTGGCCCCATCTTTCCATAGTGGGCCATGACCCAGCTGTTCAGAAAAAAAGTTAAACTATGAACAAAGTTACAGAAAGAGAATTAAAAATGTTTAATTAAACATTAAAAGGTAAGTTTAATGTCACTAGTATTCAGAAAATCCCAACTAAAATAACAAGATGCTATTTCATCTTTCATATTGTGAGAAAAAATAAACACTAATGTTTAAGAATAGTTAAGATAAAACAGTCATTCTTATTCCCTACTGGACAACAGTGAGTTTAATTGGCAACATCTGTTTTAAGGGTTGAAACAAGCATGCCCTTGTCCACTTTGCATCTTTAAACCCTCGCACATCTGTAAAATGCGTGTACAAATGTTCATGCAGTCTTATTTGTAATATTGAAAGACCAGAAAATATCCAGTCTACTAGTTCAGGAATGGTAACAGATTATGATTTGACACCATGGAATAATATAAATAAGAAAAATGAATCTTGAATACTGACACGAGCAGATAGCCTAAGACACAGCAGGTACATGAACAAGAATGTTGCAACACAACATTTGGAAGGAAACAGCAAATAACTCATTACCTTAGAGAAGGGGAGGAGGAGACTAAGAGAAACACTTACTTTACTTTTTTCAATTTATTATGTGGCTGTTACAAATGTTCACTCATGGATTATTTGTGTATTTAAGATACATTTAAAAAAATATTTAAATAATGGATGGATTCCCAAACCAGCTCACAAAACCATTTTTAAGCCTTAAGCAGCTGAACATTTGCTATGAAAGACAGAAGACAGTGTCACTGAAGTGTGAGTAACACAACAGAATGGAAAATATTTTTATTGATATAGTTTTATTTTGAAATAATTTCAAACTTAAATGTTTCAAGAATAGTACAAAGAATCCCAATCAAGTGGGAATCAAACTCAAGATTTGTTAATTGTTCCAATTCTGTCATGTATAGCAAATTGGCCCAATCCGAGATCACACGTTGCATGCAATTATGTTTCTCATCTTCTTAAATCCAGAGTATTCATCTTTCCTTGATTTTTATGACATTGAACATTTTTAATACAAGGCAGTCATTTTATAGAATGTTACTCAAGTTTCGTCTCTTATTTCCTCAGAATTAGACCAACTTTATGATTTCAGCAGGAATATTGCAGCGGTGATGCTGTGTTCTTCTCACAGGCAGAACATGATGTTGATCTGTCTTAATTAAAGGTAGTAGGACTTTCATGGCTTGGTTAACATGGTGTCTGCCAGGTTTCTTTAGTGTAAAATTACATTTTTCTTTATCATTAACAAATATTATTTTAGAGGATGCTTTGGGACTTCAAATTATCCTATTCTTCCACCCACTTTCCTCCACTAGTTTTAGCATTTACTGGTATTTGTTGTCCAAATTATTACTACATTCGTTATCAAATGGTAATTTAAAAATTACATTGACATTTATTCGTTGATATTCTAAGAATGAGATTTCCCTTCTTCCTACTTATTACTATATCAGTGTGGATTCATGAGTACCTATTTTATTTAATTACTATCATTGCTTTTGATGCTCAAATTACCCTTGACTTGGTCTGTGTAGGCCCTTTCAAGTAGGCTTCTCTTTTTGATGTTCCCATTTTTTTGTCAAATACTTAATTTTTCTGGCACAGAAGTATGTCCAAACGTTGAGATCAGCCATTTCTTCAAGGAGCTCCAGTTTGTTTAGCAGGTAAGAGTATATGGAAATCAAAATCTAGGCAATAGTTGTGCTCATTGCTTCCCAGGCTATGCATTGCTCCTAGTCTACTCATTGTTTAGAATTAGGAAATATATATGTACAAAGACACACACACACATACTGCTCCACATGTATATTTGTAAACTATGTAAGTATATCTACATCTGTATCTACCTATATAAAGATATACGCACACACACATATACGCATAATTCACACAGATCTCTCCAATTCCAATTCAGTACTACAGGGTTATTCCAGCTTTGTTTCCAAAAAGTTTTATTATTTTTAATAAACTATATATATGTATGTATATTTATGGGATACAGTTTGATGTTTTAATACATACGCATTATGGAATGATGAAATCAGGCTAATTAGCATGGCTATCACTAAACTATCACTTCTTGGTGGTGAGAACATTTAAAAATCTCCTCCAGGTCTTTTAAAATACACAACACATTAGAATCAACTTTAATCACTTTGCTGTGCAATAGAACTTATAAGAGGTCTAGCTTTCCATTTTAATTTTATTTCCTTCTCTATTCTCCATCAGCAAGAAACCTGGCCCCCATACCTATAATATCTTTACTTAATTGCTCAGTCCTTCGTATAAACCCATCTCGTAGTCTCCCTGTGCTGTCTTCTGCCCTGCCTCTGTGGGGGCCTCATCCTCACCATTACTGCCCACCTAAAAGACTGTCCTCTCTGTTCCTCTCACCTTGCCCCGTGGCATCAGTTGTTGTAGCAGGCTGTTGTCAACGTGCCAGCCCCACCCTGTGTTGTAGACTTCTGAATTGAATGAATGGAAGGAGAGGGGTGGAGTCTGGCAGTTAAAGGAGGAAGGACAAGGGAAGGATGAAGGAAGTAAATCAGTATTTCAAAGATTGAATGTAGGTTTGTGAAGCCTGCGTGATTGTAATTGAAAGATGAGGAACTAAATTGGTCCTTTTTTTTTAGAAAACTCTGAAAGGAAGACTAGTGTTTGTAGTTTAAAGGATCTGTCTTTATATTTCTTCTTTTAATTAAAAACACTTTTTTAAAAAGATGGGTGGGGTAGTACACCCTATAGTTCCTGTAGAATCAGGAGGCTGCTGCAGGGAGATCTCATAAATTTGAGGGCTATTTCAGCAATTTAATGAGGCCCTAACAACTTAGTGAGACCCCGCCTCAAAATAAACAAATAAAATGGGCTGGAGACTTAACTCAGAGTTAAAGTGTTCCTGGATTCAACCCCCAGCACAAAACAAACAGAAACCTCACATTTTTTGGGGGGGGTGGGTTGGTTACTTTTTCAATTTTTATATGGAAGCAATATGAAGAGGAAAATTGTGGTAGTGGGGAAAATTTCCTGAGACAAGTAGAAAGGATTTTGAAGAAAAAGGTTAGTGTGTTAAGGCTACAGTGTAAATATAAAGAAAATCCCAAAGAGGAACTAAGTAGCTGAGGAAAGCCAGAGGAGCAGGAGAGCACACTGGATTGCTGGGTCTGAATTTGAAGAATGCTCATCGTGACCACTAGGTGGCAGTAGACACCCATAGCTTGTTTTTTTTTTTTTTTTTTTTTTTTCTGTTGGAGCAGAAAAGAAGCCAGGAAGTTAAAGGTCTGCATGTTGAGTATGTAAGTATTTCTTACTTTACCTTTGTTTCTTATGCTGTACTATTACTAAATTTATTTTCACTTGTATCTCCAGAGATGGAATTTATTCAAAATCCTCAAAAGTTTTTTTAAGTTTCCCAACAAAGAGTTACACATCTAATTTGATACAAAATTTGAATGGCTATTTTTAGACTTTTGGATTAATAAATTCTATTAAAATCTATTAGGTTTGGAGACCTGGATTTAGTTTTTTTTTCTTTATCTTTTTCAGTTCAAATAAATATGCTCTTGTACTCACTCCCTGCCTTTTAAAAACATTTATACTTTGCAAAACCATAGTTCAGTGTTTGCAAATGTCTTACCTTTGCCCATATTTAATCTTGGCAAAAATCTCTAGTGGTGCATGACATCATGACATAAGAGAGCATCTATGTACAAACATATACAATTTTATTGATATCTCTACAGACTACAAGAATTTTAAGTATAGTCACAATTGCTGAGTGCAACAGAAAAATAGTAATTTGTCATTTTCTGAAAAGATGCAAAAATTCTGAAGATGAAAGATACATCAATGGTGTCATCTGTTTCTTATTTCCTAGAATAAAACATCACATAATTAAGTACTAAAAATTATAGGTTATAATTTTGATCCTGTGTACAATTGCCCAAAACCACCACCAAGTTTATTTTCTGGCTTTGCAGGTGAGAAGGGTGGGCCCAAACCAGAGGAGAAGCAGTGTTAAGAGGAGATGACTCGGAATTTTTTCTCACTATGTGTTATTGCCCTTGATAGGCTGGGCTCTCCTTTTTGAATGTATAAGTGCTTTTGAGGCCACTGGAGGTCAGATAGTAAATTACAGGCATTCTTTTCCATTTAAATACATAATAACCAAGAAAATAAATCTAAGTGGCCCTGGGAGCTTTTGATTGAGACAACAATCAAGAAGGAAGAGTTGTTTTTCCTTTTTGTTTAAATCAAGTCCAATAAAATATACCTATAGCAGAACAGGTACCTGGTACCCATGTCTCCTCCAAAAGAAGAATGAATAATAAATTTGGACCCGATTTAATAATGATTACTTTGAGAACTTCTATTGTCCAAACATTGAGAATCCATTTAGCTTCACATGCTGTTTAATTTACCATGATATTTCTGGTATTTTGTTTTGTCACATGTAGAAGACAATCAAAAACTTGGTATGTTTGAAGTGAAATAATTTATGGGCAAGTCACATATGAGAATATAATAGAATTATTAAGAGGTAATGGGTCACTGCCTAGTCAGAAATTCACACATACTTTTATTCTGTGAGAGGCACAGAAAAAGTTATCAATCCAGTTAATATTGTATCTCTTACATCTGCTTTCCCAGACACTGGAAGGCTGGGACACTGGAAAAGGAAGACAAACATGTCTTCCTTCGATGGTCATAACGCTAGTCATAACGTAGTAGTTAGCAACTGTGGCTGGACACTGGAGCCACACTGGGTGCTTTCAAAAATACTGATGTCTGGTTCCTACTCCAAGCAATTTTGATATAATTGGGAATTTTAAAATATCAAGTAATTATTATGTACAGCCAAGTTTGAGGATCCTCCTCTAGATAAATATATAAATAAAGGTATTTGTCTGTGCTTCTGTTCCCCATCAAAACCTCTCCCGCTTTCCTCAGGATCCATGTCCCTCCCCACACACTCATGCACCACAATAGCACTTCCTCCTCCTTTTCCAAGTTAGACCTTACCTACTCTGAATTTCTTTCACTCAGGGCTATGTGGTTTGCAAATATGCACACTTAACTCATTCTGTTGACAACGATGCCCTCTGGAATGGTACATGTTAGAGATGGTGCTCAATCTAAGCCCATGACCACTATTTGTGACACTTAGAGCACTGTGCACATGAAATAGTACACATCTAAAAATGGAGTTGGGTGAAGAAGACAGGTGAAGAAGCTGTGAAGGCTATTACATTTCTCCTAATGCAGAGAGCAAGACCTGATATGACCTGCTGACTCCTTTGGGCATTGTCCTCTCCTAATCAATGTGTTCAGGGCATAGTATTCTTTTTTCCTATGGGGCAGCTTGTGGTCATTTAGATATACTCTGGGTCGTCCAATAATCCTAAACCAAAGAGATGATTTTTCATTTACTCTTCCAACCAGTTTCATCTTTTCCTCTGTCCAAACATTTTATGGTCAAATATGTTAAATAACCTACCTTAATCTTCTTCAACTAATTTCAGATCTATTCTTACTCTTTTCTCTCCCAGAGTCATGTAGATAATGGGTACCTTTAAAACTGCATATATGTACTGTATAAAAAGGAATTTTTTTCCTTTGATTCCTTAAAAATTTTGTGGGTACAGGCCTAGGCCTGGATTTGACTTATTGAGAATCAATTCCGATAGATTGAAAAAGATTGTCTTTATGACTGAATTACTTGAAAACATCTCACTTAGCTCTGTCACTGTCCTACCAAAGCCACAGTGACCCTGATGGTGACTGGAGCACTAAGTCTGGAGCTCAATGAAGGAAACAAAGTCAGCAGTACTGTTTTTAAAGGGGATTAAAATAAATGATAAATCATTCATTCTCCCTCCAAAGTGCAAGAAAAATGGAAAATTATTGCTCACATTATTCTTAGAACTGGGAAACAAATACTTCCATCTTCTCATTGACAAATAGAATGGAAAGGCTCATTTTCTGCTGGAACATTAAAAAGGGTTTATGTCTTGAGGAAGTCGTAGGAAGGTAAAGTCAACTTGTCAAGACTGTAGTTTGTTAAGTCTTATCTTCTGACGCTACCTTAGCAGATACAATGCAGTTTTCAATTTTGATGGTAACCAAGGCTCAGGGTCATCTTCTGTATCTTTGTATAAGTTACTAGGAATATTTTTCTTAAGTTCCAAGACACAGGAGAGCAGAGAAGATGCAAAAAATTACATGGATCAACTGTACTCATTTTCCTAAGATGATGATAACGATGAGATGGTGGTGGTGAGTGCGTGAGTGCGTGTGTGCGTGTGTACATGTGCGTGTGTGTATGCCAAGGTCAGTGCAACAGAACACAGATGTTCAAAGAGAAAAATCACATCCACACTAGATTCTTGTTATTGCTGTCTCTTTGAATTACAAAATAATTTCGATACAGTAAAACCTCATTAATTTGGATTCTACTAGTCAGGAGCTTCTGGGATAAAGTTACCTTGCATTAAGAAAGGGCTTATAAAAACAATTTTGTAAGGACATGTAAACTGCTTAGAATAATCTGGTCTTTTTAAGCACTTCAGTAAATAGAAGTACCTGTTTACTTCCAAAGGATGTGCTAATTATATAAACTTTTGATCTATTTAATGAAGCTAGTGTTTTAAGCACTTCTATTGTGAAATGCTACAGTGTCCTTTTTGATATTTTCTTAGTGTGCTTTAAAATATGCTATATTTTTTCAATGATTCATAAAGTGTTCCTCAAAACTGTATTTTATTGCTTATGAACCACACATGTAATTTTGGGTATAATAATTTACCTTGCTAAGACAATATGTACTTATGACATTCATTTTTATATGAGACATGTATCACATGTTTCACAATCTGTTTCTTTAAATGATGTATAATAGTGGCTCTCAACTTGGAGCAATTTTGGCAATGGCAGGAGACATTTTTGATTGCCATTACTAGGAGTTCCTACTGGTAATAGTGTTGCAAACATCCTATAATACACAGGACAGTTCCCCCAAAAGAAAGAATTTTGTGCTAATAGTGCTGCTGTTGAGAAACCCTGATATACAACAGGTTAAATGGTGTGTGTGTGTGTGTGTGTGTGTGTGCGCGCGCGCGCGCTGGAGTTTGCTGGAGATTGAACTGAGGCCCTTATTTATAGTCAAAAAGTGATCGGCCTCTAAGCTATAGCCCCAGCACAGAACAAGTTGGATCTTACTGGGAATTTCAGTGATATTCTTTAATTTAATGCTGCTGTGGACTTAGTGTTTTATTCATTCCTAAAATAAATATGTCACTCTTTTATTTTTAAAATGTATAAATGATAAAGTGCTTGTCTAGAAAAAAACCCCAGAAAACTGGGTCTTTGAAACTGACGGTACATACAGTGTGTTGCAATTTGCTGCCAATATTTTCCAGATCCTCACCCTCAAGTTTCTTTATATTTTCACTTTATCATTTTATGTGTTATATCTATATTTCCAAGCTAGGTTTTGTTACCCTATGGCTATTATAGGAGTTTGAGAGATTAATGGAGAGGCTTTTTTTTTAAGAAATCAGGAGAATTCAAGGATTCTGAGAAATGCTATCCTAGTATACATTTTCTGACTCTTTCAATAATCTTTTCTCTTTTCACAACCATGGAGAATATTTTTAAAGGAAGCACCACTTCTAAGCAAAAAAACTAAACAAATACTAGTTTTGGCTTAAAATATACTGAACTCCAGGAAAATGGTAAATTCTTAAGAAACAGAAATGTAAATCCAGTAAGACACTGATATGTAAAACCCAACAAGCAAATCTATAATATTTAAAAAAAGATTCTTTTTGAAGGAACAGAATATTATAAGATGGGTCCTAAAGTGTAAGAGTGTGTGTGTGTGTGTGTGTGTGTGTGTACTCCCATGACTTTTGACTTCCAGAATCATGTTAGTGATGGCTAGTGTCTTTATTTTGTTTTATCTCTAGTACTTCTCTGTTGAATCATGATTGAGAACTTTTATCATGTTAAGTATATTCTTTGCTCCATTGAGAGTTTTTAATAACCAATAGGTGTCTGGTATTTATTAGCTTAATCAGGTGACTTATCTTAGTTGACCTAATTAGTGACAAAATTGTTGATTTTGTATCATTATGTATGTTGTTGTTCATAATGATGACTGAGGCTAAGACTGCGAAAATATCACTATATTTTAAAAAGATTTCCATTAATCATATTGAACCAAAAAGTATTTTCTAATGAAAGCCCTTATTAACCAGAAATGTAATAAATCAGAATCCCTTTCTCAAAACATTAACTGAGGTTTTACTGAATCACACTAACGAGAATGACCAGTTTGGTCTGTGAAAGTCAGGCTGCAAAAGCACCTTGGATTGTAGACCCTACTGGGTTTGAACAGTAATATACTGTGTAACTGACAGACAAGGATACAAATGGAGCTTTAAAAATATATCACTTTAGAAACTGAAATTGGAGTGTGTGAGATTTTACTCTTTGTGAAATCAGTTCTCAAAGCTAACTGCATTGTCCCACAGTCTATTCCCTAAACCTGTCATCTACTCCTCTGCAGAGTACAAGTCAGGCTGAAAAAAAAAATGCTTTAAGGAAACCCAACCCTATATGGTTTATGACTAAAAATAGCAACCCATTCTGAAGGTGACAGAAATGGAAATAATTGTGTTGGGAATAATTTACTAGACTGATAATACTTGATTATGACTAATAATTGTGAATGATGTAAAATACTAAGAGGGAGAAAAATGTTAATCAGATACCTGTCATAGAATTCAATAATGTCCTAGTAAAATGAAAATTACAGATGAGAACTCTGGGTTATTGTTTTCCTTTTCAGTTGGGTATGGCAAATATACTTGAAATGCATTGATGTCTTCTAATGCAGACTTTTAAATTGTTGGGTGTGGCCCAATTTATAAAAATAGTTTACCATAATTCTTTTTTTCTTCTGTCACAACATGCTTTTTTTTCTTTTCCTCTTAAGATGTTAATTTATCATGCAAAGATTTTTTTTCATTAAGTGCATTAATGCTTTTGTTTGTACAGGAATTTTCAAATCAAAAGGACTTCCCGCAGTTCCTAAATGTAAATCCTTAGCAAATTACATGCTAAGATGATAGCTCCATTCCACATGGGAAAAGACAAATTCAGCCATTATCTTGGGATTTTTAACCAGGGTTCCAGTCTTTGGGTTGTACAGCGTCTTTGATAAATCTCCTTTATGATAACTTCAGATGGATTGTGATGGAACATTTTATAGAAGAAACTGGCTTCTAGCAGTTGAATAGTGATGCTGGGAATAAATTTGGTTTCCCTGAATAATGGTTTCTCAAAGCAGGCACAGCTCTTCTTAAGGAGTTCAGAATTGGTACCATTTCTTATCCTTATATTTCAGCATTAACTGCAAAGAGAAAAACAGTCATCAAAAGTTGCTTAAAAAATCAGTGAAAGTTCTATTCCAAGCAAGTCCAGATTGAGCTAATCATGACTAAGTAAATCTCAAAACTTACAATAAAACTTGTTTTATTTTGTGGGATGAAGCATATGTCAGAAAGAGTTTTTTTTTTTAATAATATTTATTTTTCAGTTTTTGGTGGACACAACATCTTTATTTTATTTTTAATGTGGTGCTGAGGATCAAACCCAGCGCCCCGTGCAAGCCAGGTGAGCGCGTTACCTCTTGAGCCACATCCCCAGCCCCAGAAAGTGTTTTTTTTTTTTTTTTTAAAAAAAAAAAACAAACATACATTAAATCAAGATATAAAGATTCACCTGACAGGAAATGATTTTTAACGACCTGAGACAAAATGGAAGGTGTGGATTCCAGCCTCTACTGCTGCCCCTCCCACCTTCCTGTGGGTCTTGCATCATCTACCTACACACTTTTTAAGCAGTTGATGCACAATACAGATCAGTGTATTAGAACCAATGGATAATTTTCTTTGATTATCCCTTGAGGTAAATAAGTATTTATTAATATATTTTACAGTATTTAAAAAAGTATTTCCCCAAAGTGGGGGAAATCATAATACTTGGTTATAGGACTACTCATGTGGCATCTCGTTTAAGCTTTCTTGAACAGGACTTACAGGTCTCCTCACTGGTGGTAACTTTAAACATTTATGTATTTAATCAGATTACCTCGTGTGCATGTTTGGAAAATGCTTCTGCGCTGGTCATCATGCCTGCAGTCTTCTCTTCCAGCTCTCCTAGTCTCTGTCCTCTCTCATCAAGTGCAATCCGGGCGCGGGTCAGCTCTCCCATGACACCTCCAGCAGCGCCTTTCATCCCTTCTATACCACCTGGTCCAGGAATGTGCTGTGCAAGGCTGCGAGAAGCTTTTCCTGCTGTAGCTTCCCCAACTGGAAATTCAAGACATAGCAATTAAAACATTCTGTCAGTAATTCAAATAGTCAAGGTTGTTGCCAAAACAAAATGCTTAAGTTCTGCTGTCGTAATTTTCATTGGAGGAGTGATAAGAAAGAGAGAGACAGGGAAATATCATTACTATATGTCTCTATGTGTACACGTGTGTGTGTGTGTGTGTGTGTTTATGTGTACATGTGGTGTTTCATACAGTATGGCACAACTGCATTTCTTGGCATGGCTGAATTGGAATTCTGAAAACATAAGACTTCACGTTTAGCCCATACTAATGTCTATTCCTGTCTGAGCCTGATAATTTGCTTACATTTCTGCCCAAGTCCTTATTCCAACCTTTTCTGTTCATCCTGATGTATCAGCTTGTAGGCCTCAGGTTCTCTCTCTTCCCCTCTTTATCCCTCTAGAGAATGGGCTATAAGTGATGGATATCAATTTACATATGTTGAAATTCTGTGACTTCATAAATGAGTAAAAATTTCCCAGTCAAATACAGAGCTTCGTTTCATTCTATTCTAAAGAGACAAAAACGTTTTTATTAAAATCAGCTGTCTTGGCAGAAATTTAGTGAACATTTCTAATGATATAATATTGGAATAGAATCTAAAATTTTAAAAACAAGAGGCTTTTTGAGATATAATTCACATATAATAGAATTTTCCCTTTCAACAAAAAGCATACAATTCAGTGGTTTTTAGTGTATTCACAAAGTTTTTTGACTATTACCACTGTCTGATTTTAGAATTTTTTATTATGCCACAAAGAAACCTTGAACCCACTAGTAGTCACTGTTTATTCTCTCCCTGCCCAGGCAACCACTGATCTATTTTCAGTCTCTATGAATTTGCCTATTCTGTACATTTCATATAAATGGTATCATAGTAGCTCAGTGGTAGTGCACTTGCTTAACATGTACAAGGCCCCAGGTTTGATTCCCAGCTCTTCAACAGTCAATGAATCAATCATACAATATGTGACCTTTTTGGTTTTCTTGGATTTAGCATGATTTTTTCCAAAGTTAGAACATGTTATACATGTTGTATCATGTATTAATATTTCATTCTTTTTTTGTGGCCAACCAATATTCCACTGTATGATAGCACCTAGATCTTTTTTGCATAGTTAAAAGTTCAAGAGAACTTTAATATGTGGAACCAAATGGCATATTCTGGAAAATATATTCTCATCTTGTCTATGAAAATGTTCTCTAGTATCTTTCTATTGATTTTTGATTATTGTTCATCAGTTTGCTTGATAGAATTTTAAAATAGTTTATTCTGTGACATTGATAGACCTTGCATTATGAATTTAAAAAATCTGTTTCCCAGTAGTGATTATAGACAGGCAGATTAAACTTTATTTTTCCAACTTTAATAACTGAATGTCTTCACCTTGTCATGCAGATACGCTCTACCTACAAAAGTGAGACATTTATTAGCTGGCTTATTATTTATTTGAATTATACATATCATTTTTACTAAACTATTTTCTAATGGCTAATTTTATTCATGTTTAGAAAACATAAATAATTTTCATGGTACAGAAGGAAACAGATATTCAAACTTTTAAGATAGAAGTAAGATGGCAAGGATATTGAAAAAAAAGGTATATATTATTGGTGAGACTATAAATTAGTACAACCACAGTGAAAATCAGAATGGAGATTCCTCAAAAGACTAGGAATGGAACCACCATATGACCCAGTATTCCATTCCTTGTTTTTTTATACAAAAGAACTAAAATGAGCATACTATAGTGATATATGCATATCAACATTTCTAGCAGTGCAATTCACAATATCCAAGTTGTGGAACTAGCCCAGCTGTCCATCAATAGATGAATGGACATAGAAAACATGGTATATATACACACTGGAGTTTTACTCAGCCATATAAAGAAGAACGAAATTATGTCATTTGCTTGTAAATAGATGGAACTGGAGAACATCATGCCAAGTGAAATAAGCTAGACTCAGTCAAGTTTTGAATGTTTTTTCTTATATGTACAAACTAGAGAGAAAAAGGGAATAAAAAAGGGATGTTATGAAAATAGAAATGAGACCAATAGAGTACAGTAAGGGGATGGAGAGGGAGGGAATAGGGGAGGGCGGGGGGGGATGGACCCATTGAAATCAACCAAATTACTGCTATGTTCATATAGAAATATAAAACAGTGAATCCCACTTTTATGTATAATTATAATTCACAAATTAAAAAAAAAAGAAGGAAGACCAGTAAGGGTAGACGATGGGGATCAGAGACAGGAGGGAAGTAATAGGGAATGTACTGGGAAATGAAACTGAACAAACTATGTCATATGCATGTGTGACTGTTACACGAATCCCACTGCTGTGTGAAATTATAATGCACACACACAAAATAATAGAAGAAAAAGCACATAACCTAGAATTTGAGATCCCATATTAAACTATACACACAATATCATGTCTTCCATTCTGAGATGCATTTCTGTAATTAGGAATTTACTCACAGAGCTCTTCTCTGTCAAATGTTTGTCCACTTCCACTGAACAGTCCCTTAAGAAAGCCTCTATTCTGAGCTTCTGGTGTCTCTATAGGAGTAAACAAATCTCCTAGCATGTCCTGTACCAAATTCAAAGGAAAAAAAGCATTATAAAACTAATAATGAATTAACAGATAAAAAGGTAACACTGTGGTAAAAGAGTATATCATGAAAGACAGTCTGCTTTTCCTGCTGATTTTTGCTTTGCTCACAGTTTTTACCTTAACATTTCTTTCTCCATTTTCTTTCCTTCATTTCTACAGTAACTGATTTTCTAAAATTTTCCTTTTTCTATTTTGTCTCCTATTGATATCTAGCATGGAAAATCAATATATTCACTCTCAGAATAATTTCCATGTATGATCAGTGACTACCAATTTAGATATTTGTGGCTTTTAAAATTACCACAGCCTCTTTCCTATCCTGGTTCCTTTCCCTGAACCATGAATGGACTTCCCTTAGAAATAAGAAGGCTTCAGTGAAGGCTAGATCTATTTTTATATTATACAAAATTATGCCATAGTTAAAAATCATTGAAATAATTAAAAATGGGTATGGCAAGGTCATTCTCAGTATTTGATGAGTTTTAGAATGACTGGGAAAATATCTTATTAGAAATGCAAATCTTCTACAATTACTAAATCAGAATTGACCTAGATGTGCTCTGGTTATCTTGCTTTTCAAGTCCTTTTAAAGCAGCACAACATTTAAGAACCATCAGTACGGAGGAAGAAACCAAGACCAGGAGGCACAGGTTTGTCAATGAACTTTCAGTTTGACTTCATCATCTCTCCTCACCAGCCCTGTGTTTTTCTTCCTAGAAGTCCTACTCTTTGGAGAGAGTAGCACCCTCTATTCAGTTTCCCAAGGCAGAAAACATTCCTTGCTTTTCCTCATTCTTATGACTAATAACCCTCAAAGCCAATGGATTACACTTTATAGCTCTTGAATCTGCTAACTTTTCTTCATCATAACTGCTGATTCCTTTATTTTGGGTCAATGCAATTCTTGAACTTTACTGTAAAGAGACTCCTAATTATTGTCCCCAGCTTCAGTTTTGCTTCCTCAAAACCAATTGCCATACTATCAACCAAATCTGCTCAAGTTTTTTTAATGACTTCCTGTACCTCTTAGGATAAATGCTCAGTTCCTTATAGATCTTAAAAGGTGCTCCCAGAGCTTTTCTTGACTAATTCTCCAGCACCACCCCTCAAATCTTCACTTCCCAATGCTGAACTTTCTTGGCAGTTTCCTGAATCCTGAGGATTTCATACCTATACCACTACTGTTTAGGATATCTACCTTTTTTATCCCTAGCCATCAATTTACCTGAACAACTCCTACTTACCCTTCAGAGGTCAGTTGTGCCCACAATCTTTCTCTAACTACTCCCTCCTTTCTTTTTGTTTTTAAATATTTTTTAGTTGTTGTTGGACCTTTATTTTATTTATTTGTATGTGGTGCCGAGAATCAAACCCAGTGCCGCATACACATTAGGCAAGTGCTCTACCACTGAGCCACAACCCCAGCCCTCCTTTCTTCTCATCAACCCAAATGCACTTCTTTTGTCTCCCTAGTACTGGTATAGATATATACATAGCATTTTCCATAGAATATGTGCTCACTTATCTCTCTACCTAGCAGACAGGGATTTGTGTGCTTATTGTTGTATTTCTAGAACCCTGCAAAGTCTAAGACACACAATAAAAAGTCCTTAAATATTTGTTGAATAACAATATAATGATCATAATACAAGATTTATATATTCCAGGAACTGTGCTCATTGGTCATCATCAATGACCTGCCTGCTCATTGCTTTATATAAATTCTTACCTAATTCTAGTAATAATGCTCCAAGGTAGCACATACAGGTAGGTTAAATAAAATGCCCAAAGTCACACAAAAGGGGATCCAAGTATAGCACAAATAATTCAGCATTTTTACTCGTAATCTCTACATTATAATGAATGATTTTGATTTTCTAATTTGTAAAGTAAAGGTATTGAGCCAGTTAAATCTTGAAGATTCTCTTAAAATTCTGTGACAATTCTTATGCAAGATTAGATAAGCTTTTATCTCTCTCCTGTTTCTAGGCTGTGCTTACCACCATGTACAAAGACAAATATCCAATTCTAATCAGCATGGTTATTTTGGTGGCCCTTGATTAAGTTTTTTTTTTTTTTTTAAAAGCCTATGAACTCCCTGAGCTGGATACAAACTTTCATGTGTTCATACATATTTCCCATCTAGAAGGAAATGATTTTTCCAGAGACACTCAACAGGCAAATGCAAACAATAAAATAAAAATATTTAACTGTTAAAATGAAAGATCTTCATATTCTTTCTCTTTCTTATTATTTCTGTGCATACCTAGAACTGTACCAGAAGTTGGCAGGGTCATAAAGAAGAATATATATTAAAGATTTGTTCTAAGAAAGGCATATTTATTGTGCAACCCAATAATATTTTAGCTTTTAGACATCCCTTTCATTTTACAACCTCTCCATTTAAAAAAAAAATAAATGCACCTGACCTACCTGTAGATTATCACACATTTCCTGGCTGTATGTTAACCGCTGAATTTCAGTAGGAGAGACAAGATACAAAGCCTGTCCTTCATTGGTAAAACAAAATGTCCGTGCTATCCTCATGTCTGTCAGTGGCAAATAATTAACATCCAACATTGGGCGAAGACTAGGTAGGCTAAAAGGAAAAAAGTAAATCCACATTCCATATTCAAGTTGAAAAAAAGCATTTCCTAACATAAAACAGTAATTTAAAAAACATTATTTTATGGTTATTTCATTTATTTTCTTGAAGGCTCAGTATTAATAGGCTTTCACACAAATTCATAAAAAAAAAAAATGGGCTGGGCATGGTGGTGCATGCCTGTAATTCCAGGAACTCGGGCAGCTGAGGCAGGAGGATGATGAGTTCAAAGCCAGCCTCAGTAATTTAGTGAGGCACGTAGAAATTCAGCAAGACCTTGTCTCTAAATAAAATATAAAAAAGGGCTGAGGATATGGCTCAGTGGTGAAGCACCCCTGGGTATAATCCCTGGTGCCCATGCCCCCCAAAATAAATCATGGGCAAAGTTCTATCTTAATCCACAGATGCTTAACAATGCCCTTGAAGAGACCAGCAATCTCTGGGATGTTTTTGCAGCATTCCATGGGTTCTCTTCATATGATTATAGCCTTTGGTTATGTCAGAAATGCTAGAATGTATCTGACTGCATACTTGGTCTATTGTCTTTCTTTTAGGCAGAACTCCTGACTTTGAAGAAGTTTTAACACAGAGTGGGTTCAATTCACTGTGCCTGGGAATGGAGTGGCTTTGCTTCCTCTTCCTTTATTCCCTCTGAAATTACCTATAACTTAGGGCATCTGCACTGAAGGCACAATCAATAAATAAACCCAGCCAAGGCTGTAAGGGAATGAGAATAAGGTACCAATAATAGATCAGAATTTGTACATCCAAATGAATACCACAGATTTGATGTAGTTTATTCCATGGCTGCATCCTAATCCTAATGCTGTAGCTATAAATTTGCTAAAATAGTTCTCAGAATGTCCTTTTGGATACTGTTGTTAGAGCCAGTTTTATGAGCCACTGAAGAAAATAAAACCACTTTTACTGATTTTTAATCATACCTCTAATGTCAAAAGTGGGAGTAGGGCTTGTAATTAAATCTCAAGTTTTGAAATCATTCTACTAATTCTAAGTGTGCTCAATAATTTTAAATGATTCCAGATCATAAAACCAGCACCTCAAAAGATACTGATCTCCCTTATCAAGGTAGTTTGTAACTAGACTTTTGACCCTCAAACTTTATTTTATAAAATGGCACTTGAAATCTGTGTTATTGGAATAAGCGTTTTCCTGAGATTCCAGGGCTGCACTGCCCAATATTTTAGCCACTAACTAAAAACGTGAATATTATGCAGTTGATCCATGGCTAGTCTGAATTGAGATGTGTTTTAAAGTGTAAATTACACTCTGAACTTCAAAGACTTAGTAAAAATAAATTATCTGAAATCTATAAAAAAGATATTGTAATTAATCTGTTATAACCCTTCAGGTAGCTAAACCCCTAAAGATATGAGTCTGAAACAAAATCAGTTAAACAGATATCTGTAATTCAATCAAATTAATAGGTGGGTTGGGAGAGATTCTGATGACCTTTCTGATAGGCTACATTGTCTAGGGTGTGCAACATAAATGAGTCAAGAAAAGAAAATTTGAAAAGGTACAATCACTTTAGGTAGGAAAAGTGAAAGAGCAAGTTAATTGCTAAGGATTAGAAAACAATTAGTTTTAAAACTGAAAAAAGTTTCTTCTATTCAGAGGCACTTTAATAAAAAATCAGAGTCCGTTAACCAAAGGGGGTTCTTAAAAGTGGCTATGTTTGAGAATTCATATAGATAAGTCTTTCATATTCTTTTTTTAAAAAAATCGTTATTTTGTTTTATTTTTATGTGGTGCTGAGGATGGAACCCAGTATCTCACATGTGAGGGGCAAGTGCTCTGCCACTGAGCCACAACCTCAGCCCTCATATTCTTTCTGGTTACGTTTGGACCTTAACAACCAATCATTAGCTGCCTCCACCTATCAGAAACTAGGACTTGAGGAGACGGGGCTCAGGACAGTTACATTCTGACAGGGTCTGGAAAGATCCTGGGTATATACTCAGCATGGGAAAGTAAAGAAGACCAGGAACAGATCAATTTGTAGGATTCAGTTCTTCAATCCACCCAGCAGAGTACATATCATCATTTCTTAGCTATACATTATATATTATTAAAATAATGTCAAAATTATTTCCTTTTCAAATATTTTTACGTATCCTCAGGAAAACATTATGACAAGTTTTCATTATGACATAATACCAAAGTAGCCACTATCATGTAAAGCAGCTTTTACAGAGGGAGACTGAAATATTGTTTTCCCAATGACTCCTGATGTTTAAAAGCTTGTTTTTCATTTATTAAGAAATCTCTCACCTCATATAGATGATAGAACATATTAATTTAAATAGAATTTGGAGATATATAGGATAACATCTTAGAAATAATAAAATTTTACAGAAACAGGTTAAAATAATCATCATTAAGCTAAAATTCTGACTGACATAATTAAGATTTAAAGTGAGACAATTTTTGAGTGACTAAATGGTAGCTTAGAGAAGGGGGGAGAGAGAGAGAGTGTGTGTGTGTGTGCGCATGAAAATAAACATTAAAACACACACAAATGTACAGTTTTTTTTCAAAACTGAGTTAAATGTCATTTTCAAATAAGATTGAAATAACCTTCATTGGAAATATTTAAAACTAGTTTGAAAAAAGGAAAAATCAGACAAAGAGAGAAATGATCAGAAATATACAAGAAAATGAACTGACCACAAAATGATCATTTTTCCCAAGTCTTTATCTCTAAGTACTTCCCCATACCTCAAAAATTTGTTCATGTCTCCCAAATTTAAAAATAATAAAAATATAGCACTGTCAAAGTCTAGTTTTCACCTTGAACTACCTTCCCGTCTTTCATCTCTCTTTTTTAAAACACAAAATTTGGGGCTGGGGCTATAACTTGGCAGTAGAGTGCTTTCCTAGCGTGTGTGAGACACTGGGTTTGATCCCCAGCACCATAAAAAAATTAAATAAATAAGATAAAGCTATTGTGACCATTTACAACAAAAAATATTTTAAAAAACAAAATTTTCTGAAAGAATAATCTATAATAGGGGTAAAGGACCAGATAGTAAATGTTTTAGAGTCTGCAGTGCAAAAATAGCCGTGACCAATATACAAACAGATGGGTGTGGCTGTATTCCCAAAAAACTGCATTTATAAGTATCTGAATTTTGCTTAATTTTCATATATCATGAAGTGTTTGACCATTTAAAAATGTAAACACTATCTGTGGCTTGTAGGTTGTACAAATCAGATATGGGATGGGGTAGATTTGGTCCATAGGTTATTCTTTACCAATCTCTCATCTATATACCTGCCTCAAATTACCTCCACCGTGTACCTAAGACTTGCTTTCTTAAAGGCCATTAATATCTAAGTAGTGGCAAGATTTAATGTTTTTCTTGTACCTAAATTCCTTGATCTCTTTGCTATATTTGGCTATCTTTTGACCCCCACCTCCTTTCTTTTGATACTATTCCCTTCTTTTTATTTCATGAAGTTATAACCATTCTGGTCCTTTCCCTTTCTTTCTGATGACTTATTCTCAATCTCCTTTGCTGGATGCTCTTCTTTCTTTCATAGTATAAAATGTAGAGATAGCCCCAAGTTCCTAAGCTCAGCTCAGTCTGTTCTTCATTACTTTTTGTACTACCTTTTTTGATTATCTCAGTCACTGTCATAACTACTAATGTATTCACACAGAAGACTTCCAATATGTTTCTAAAAGTCCAGACTCTATATATTTCTTGATAAATTTCTGCTGGATGACATCGATACCTCAAATTTCAAATATTTATTTTCAATTCATTCTCAAACTTCTCATTATCATAACTTTTCCAAATGCGCCTGGCTTTCATATTTGCTAACAGCATCACTAATATCCAAATTAAAAAAATAACCTTAAGTTCTTTTCTAACCCCCAAATTTAACAGCTTCCATTACCTTTCATAACTAAACAGCTTTACACACAGCAAGTTTCCCTCCATGATCCCTCACAGTTTCCCCTCCTTGCCTTTTATATAGTTATCATTTCAATTCAAAAGTCAATCACAAGCTCCCCCTCCACAGAAATTTCCTAATGAATAGAGGTTAATCATGTGCTTTAAAACCATATTTCTTATATCAATTAGTCCTCAACAATTTCCCCCCATCTACCTCTCTAGGTTACTTTCCTCCCAATGACTCTTCCTTTATAATTCATGCTTAACTATACTATGGCTTTGAACTCCAGGGACCAATTTTATCAACAGAAAATTCAATTTCATATTTCCTCTGTTGAATTTATATATTTTTTTACAATTTTTGTGGTACAGGGATTAAACCCATGGGGGCCCTCTATTACTGAGCTACATCCTCAGCCCAATACCTTACCCTTTTTTAAAAAAGTAATTTTTTATTTTGAGACAGGGTATGGCTAAGTTGCCCAGGCTATCCTTGAATTTGTGATCTTACTGCCTTAGCCTTCTGATCAGTTTCAGCCTCTGTACCCAAATTATGCATTATAATTTCTTGTGTATGTGTCTTATCTCCCAATTAGATGGTAAGCTTCTTAAGGGTTAGGAATATATTTTGCTAATTTCTATATTGTTTATAGGTCCAGTACAATACTTAACCATTTTAATGACTTTTGAACTATGGGAGAATGAAAAAGAATAACAGTGACTTCTTAACTGTTCTTATTACCTGCTGAATTCATAAAGTTATAATATCTCAATGTCTTACAAATTTTATTTGATTTCACTAACAGTAGGATGAAATATACTGTTGATGAGCTGACAACTTATTTTTAAAGTGTATGATGATTTTTATTATATTTCTCAGTGCTGCCTCATTTTTTCCTAGACTTTCAACCTCAAATTCAATTTATTAGCATGTAAAATGAAGTATGCAAATAATACTTTACTTTCATGTGTCCTAGAATAGTAATAAGGATCAGGTGAAACTCTGTTTAATATTCTTATTAGTATATCAAAATGGATTCTACTGGCATGTATGACTAAAGAACCAATAAATTAAAAAATATTCTTTCATGAACTATATAGTAAAAGTAACAGCTTCGTTTCCCTGTAGCTTATTCATCTTTTATTTCCAGTGCTAGCATAGCATTTGGAAGCTAAATATACTCAGTAAATGTTTGTTGAATGACTGGAACATCATTCTTTCCTTAGATTTCTTGATGCCAGTTAAAAATATATATTTAATTCACAGCATTAAGCATTTTTTAAGGAAAAAATCCCAACAGAACACACCACAAACCCCCAAACTCTCATCAGATTGTTAAACAACAAAATATTTACAAACATAATTAAACCATGATCTCAGGTTGCTTCTTGATAACATCTTGCACATTAATCATATACTTTTTAGGATTATACTTGCTGGTTTTGGTATAATTATCAGATAATTTATAAAGAAAGCAACTACCTCATTATCATGATATGCCCATTAGCACAAAAGCATGCCAAGCAGGCACTGTTGCACATGACCACCACATTTGCTTGCAGTATAAAAGATGTCTCGGTGATGTTATGAACATAAAGGCAAGTCTGAGAAGGCAGTGAGAAGACTTTGGCTTGTTTTTCTGAGCAAATTATTGTATACTGATGATCTCCTATTTCTTGGGATGAAGAGGAGTAGTTCATGACCAATTTCCTTCTCCAAGTTTTTTCATTTTCATCTATGGTATTTGGATCCCTCCAAACTTCATATGGCGGTTGCATTAATCCGCCAGTTCGGTCCATACAGGAAAATGTTAGTACAGCTCCTTTCAATGAGAGGAATGTACCTATAAAAACAATTTCACATCACTGGCAAATAAATTCTTTCTAAAAGAGCTTTTATTCATCTGTGGGCAATGAACATTTATATTATGATAATTTGTGTTTATAGTATCATAGTATTGCACGAATACACATAGATCGTAAATTTTTTAGTTCATCCATTGCATTAACTTAGAATCATAGAATATTAGGCCTAAAAAGAACCTAAGACATTAACTTGTCAAATTCTCTCATTTAAATGGGAAAACAGATCCAAGAAGATGATGACAGTTGGGCCAGGTCACATAGCAAATTAGTGACTGAGCTCTGACTAGAATTCTGATTTCTTGATTGCTAATTCAGGATTTTTCATTATTTTATATGATCCACTTTAAAATCATTTTATAAAAGACAAATTGAAAAATGCATAGCTTTCATTTATTGAAATAATTTCAACAGAAAAATAATTATATCATCTGATTCTCTTTTCTTATTTTATAGGTTCATTTACTAATATATGTTTCTTTTTTCTTTTCCTGACATTGAACACTCAATTAATGTCATGAAATTTCAATATCTGAAAAAAAAAAGAAATTTCAATATCTGGAGTTCATGCTAGAAATTTTAATTGTATGAATAACAAAAACCTTTAAAAATAACTACCTTCAGCTCTCAGGCAAGCCTACGCATCTGAATTCAGAAAAAGTGTTCATTTACCCGGATTCTTCAAGGTTGATTATCCACACCAGATCACTACTTATTAGTGATTTTTACTGGTCTCAGAAGACTGTATTCTATAGAACTAAGGAGGTAACTTAGGCTGGACTATCCTTTAAACAGTATTCTACTAGCCCTTTTTTATTTTGTCCTTTCATATTATGTAGAGTAAGGGTGTTAACCCAGGCTGATATATTTCAAGTATATATGTATGTATATGTATGTATGTGTGTGTGTGTGTGTGTATAGTGATATATAGTGTGACAGATACTTAAAAAAGGAAAGGTGGTAGATGAAAACACATTCTATTTAGGAAGTGCTTTTTCTTATAATTTAAACAACTTAAAAATTATAAAATTCAAAGTAACATTAGATGATCTAACATCTCAGCTGTATTTTTAAATCCACTTGAAAACTAAATAACCTGTACAAATCCTAGAACTGAGAGGATAGGGTTGTGGGGTTAGGTGCTTAGTATAGGGTCAAGGTATAAAATAACAGCTCTCTCAAAACTCCTTGTATAAAAAGATGCCAAAATATATACTACTCTGTAAAACCACATTTTCAAAACTACCTTTTCATAACTACCTGCTACAGAGAAATTTTTCTAAGTAGTGTCATGAGTCATATAATGGCGTATAATTCAGTCAATGAAGACCATATGTATAATGGAGCTATAAAATTCCTACCACCTAGTATGCTCCAGCCATCATAATATATTATTCATGTGGTTATGGTGATGCTGGTGTAGATCTACTGTGCTGCCAATTGCATAGGAGAGTAGCAATACAATTATGCACAGTATGTAATACTTGATAATGATAATAAATGACAATGTTACGGCTTTAAGTATTTACTATAGTACTCTACTCTACTTCTTTGTCATTGCTTCAATTTACTCCGTAAAAAATGTTTACTGTAAAACAATATGCTGTGTTATGGTGACAGCAACCTCATATAATTTGTGTTTACTAAGTCTCTTGGTTGCATCAAGAGGCCACATCTGATTGACTTATGACATTAGGTTTGTATAAGTACACTCTATGATGTTCACATGATGAAACTTCTAGTAATGCATTTCTTAATATAACCTTATCATTACATCAATATAACTACATGAATATCTTTGCATCCTTGATGTAGGTATGGCACAAATTAGGTTAAAAAGTCAAGAAACCCATATTTTAGAAGACATTTTACTTATTCCCAATGCTTATACACTGATGGCATTAAAATGACATTTTTTTTTCATTGAGCTGCCCTTGTCAAAACTGCTGCTTTGGTTTCTAATTTGTTTCCTATAGCAGACTGATACTAATGTGAAGGTTTCTTTGCATCATCCCATGGTAATTAGGGCTCAAAAAAATCCCGGCTCAAATTACTGCTTTTCTGATTTCTGTGAGTAATAAATTATCCTTTGTCTCTGCCATAGGAGTTGCATACCTTGCATCAGCATCTGTGAAACTGGCAACCTACCTTTATTAACTTGCACACAGAGTAAAATCTCAGAATCTATAGATCTTGATTCTCTAGAATGACAAAGGGAAGCCTCATAGGAGATACAATCAGAGAGACAGAGTGGTGCCAGATTATGCAGGTTCTTGTAGGACATGCTAAAGATTTAGACTTTTACTTGGAGTGATATAACTTAAATTTCATTTAACAGGATCATTCTTTCTGATGGGCATATTCTAAAGGGTATCAAAGTTAGAAAAAAGGAGAGCAGTGAAGAGATTAACATAATGATCCACGTGGAAAATAAATATAGCCCTCTTGAACTAGATGTAACAGTAGATATAGTGAGAAATGTCAGGATCTGAGAACATTGTGAAAGTTATGCCAGTAGGGTTTGCTAATAAATTGTATTTAAGATAGGAAAGAAACAGAGATCAAGGATGATTCAGATGTTTTTGATCTGAGCAACTTGAAGAACAGACTGACAATGGATATATAGGAAATACTGTGGAAAAAAAGAGAAATATCAGAAGCTCAGTTTTGGACATGTTAAGTTTGAGGTGTTTATTAGATAAACAAGAGGATGTCAAATATCTAGATTCCTGTGTCAGGAATTTGGGAACAGGTCCAAGCTATAAATATAAATACAAATAAAAACATATGATACATCAGATTATAAACGCATTTAAAATCATGAGGTTGGATAATTTCTTCTAGGCCTTCAATGTAAAGAGAAAAGAGAAAAAGTTAAAGGAGTCAGTCTTGGGGCATTATGTTGTTTTAAATCCAGTGCAATGAATTGAAAGAACCAATAAAGAAGACTGAGAAGGAACAGTTAGTACCACAGTAAGAAAAACAGATAAATATAAAGGTCTTTAATAAATGAGTGTTATAAGGTAGAGAGAATTGGTAATTTATATAATAGATTGCAGATATGTCAAGTAAGATGTGGCCTGATAATTTACCATTGGATTTACTTATTAAGTCAGTGGTCACCTATATGAAGGTAGTTTTGTTGAGTATGGGAGAAAGTATGATCAAAATGAGCTCCAAATAGATTAGGAGAATGAAATTAGAAACAGTGAATATACTACAAACATTTCAAAAATGAAATTTGCATTAAAAAAGAAGTGAAATAGGAGAATAGATTCAACAGAGGTTTTTCTTTTTTAGCTGGAGGAATAATGGTATATTTGTATGCTAATTCAGTAGAAAAAGACACATTTATTAAAAAGGAAATAGAGGAAAAATTTCTGGGTTGACATTGTTGAATAGGAGAAAAGGAGTATAATCTAGTGCACAACTGGAAAATTCTGTCTAGTTAGAAGCGTAGAGTTTACTAATAGTAACAGGAGAGAATAGGGAGATCATGGAGATATAGATATGTTATTTATCCTGTTCAGAGCTCTGTGTTACCGGTAATAAGGAAAGTGTAATAGATTAGTAGACAACAGAGTCAAGTAAGTTTTCATTTGTAGGATCAGCATCACCTGGGAGCTTGTTAAAAATGCAAATTCTCAGGCTCCACCCTAGACCCTATTGAATTAGAAACTCTAGGGTGGGGTCCATCCTAGAGTTTGTTTTATTAACAAACCCTCCAAGTGATATGAGAGAGAGAGAGAGAGAGAGACAGAGAGAGAGAGAGAGAGAGAGAGAGAGAGAAGGGTTTTCCTTTCTTGGGAGGTGTTTGATTACTGATTCCAATTCCTTACTAGTTATGGGTCTAATTCAGACTTTATTTCTTCATGATTCAGTCATCATAGGTTAAATGTTTCTAGAAAAGTATCTGTTTCTTTTAGGTCATCCGGTTTGTTAGTCCTCTCTCAAGATTCTTTTTGTTTCTATGGAATCAGTTATATAATGTTTTCCTCTTCATTTCTGATTTTATTAGATGTCCTTTTTTATTAGTTGGTATAGCTAAAGGTTTATCAGTTTTGTCTTCTCAACTAGCACCTTGTTTTGTTAAAAAATTGGGCTAAGGATTTGGGTAAACATTTTTCAAAAGAAAAGTTAGGGTCTGGGCTATAGCTCAGTGGCAGAGCACTTGCCTACCATGTGTGAGGTACTGGGTAGATCCTCAGCACCACATAAAAATAAATAAATAAAAATGGACTTTATTAAAAAAAAGATGAACAATTGGACAACAGGTATATGCAAAGATGCTCAACATCATTGATCATCAAGGAAATAAACACAAATCATAACCATGATGAGATAAAATATCACATCTGTTATGACAGTTATTATTTAAAATCAAAATCAAAAGACAACAATGTTGGTGAAGTGTGGAGAAACTGGAACCCTCTACACTGATAGTAGGAATGCAAAATGGTGAGACTGCTATGAAAAAGAGTGTGAAAGTTCTTCAAAAATTAAAAAATAGAATTAACATGTAAAATTAAAAATGTAAAATTTACAAACAGAATTAACATGTAATCTAGCAATACTGCTTCTGGGTATGTATCCCAGGATCAGGATCTTGAGGAGATAGGTATTCCTATGTTCACTGTAGTACTATTCACAATAGTGAAGTTGTGAAAACAACCTAAATGTCCAAGAGATGAAAGGATAAAAAAGGAATAGATACATACAATGTAATATTATTCAGCCTTAAAAAGAAGGAAATCCTATATTATTCAACAATATGGATGAATCTTGAGGATTTATATTAAGTGAAATAAGCTAGTCACAGAAGGACAAATACTGCATGATTCCATAAATGAGACATTTAAAATTGTCAAATCCATAGAAACAAAGAATAGAATGGTGGTTGCCAGGGGCTTGGAGAAGGGAAAATGGGGACTTGCTAATAAATTAGCATAAAATTTCAGGTATAAAAGACAAGTTCCAGAGATCTGAGGTGCAACATTATACCTATGAATAATACCATTGTTATGGTTTGGATGTGAGGTGTACCCGAAAAGATCATGTGTAAGACAATGCAAGAAGGTTCAGAGGAGAAATGATTGGATTGTGAGTCTTAACCCAATCAGTGACTTAATCCCCTGGTAGGGATTAAATGAGTGGTAACTGAAGTGATAGGATGCAGCAGGAGGAGGTGGGAACTAGGGGCATAGCTTTGGAGTATATGTTTGTATCTGGCAAGTGGAAATCTCTCTGCTTTCTGATCACCATGTGAGCTGCTTCTCTCTGCCATACTTTTCCACCATGATGTTCTGCCTCACCTCGAGCCCCAAGGAATGGAGCCAGCCTTCTGTGGACTAAGACCTCTGAAACTGTGAGGCCTCAAATAAACTTTTCCTCCTTTACAGTTGTTCTGGTCAGATCCTTTAGTCAGAAGCAGAAAACAACCATGGACAGTACCCAAAAGCTTGGCCAGTGAGTACTGGATGAAAAATAGATATTTCAGAGAGGGTGAAGCCTGGAACAACTATTACAGGTCAGCAAGGGAATGGTAAAGGATAAAATTTTACTTTAAAATTGAAATGGCTTTCATCACCTCTATTTTTTTTCTTATGAAACTCCAGTTTCATGTTTTATGTTTACTACTATGAATTATGACTTTCTCTCTTTCAATGGTTGATTATAGAATAAATTTGAACCCAGCCTCATAGCTTTCTCCTTTATAATTAATAGACTTTATTTTTAAGAGCAGTTTTAGTTTTACAAAAAATTGAGAGATAGTACGTAGAGATCCCATATATCTCTTTTTTCATTTCCCTATTTTACATTTTGCTTTTGTGTAATGTATCTATCATACTTGATGGACTGATATTGACACATTATTATTAACTAAAATTTTGAAAGAATAAAAACTGGCATTGAAACTTAAAGAAAAGACAGCTTCTCATTAAGTTGATAAGGGAAAAATGATAAATATTTTACAAATTAAATGCTAAAATTTAAATCTTTAATTTTTAAAATCACTTTTGGTCTGAGTTTGTTTGCTACAAATGGCAAAGAACTTCCCTACAAAATTGAGAGATCTGTTATATTAGTTCTGGGGACTATTTATTTCTATCCTTGTGACTTAGAAAACAACATTTGCTAGAATATTTTTGAGCTTTGTGCTAAGGTTTTCCTCAGTGCTTTTCAGAAACTTATTGCCCAAAGTGTTGATTAGGTTGGCAGTTCCACAATTTACTACTGCAGCAATGGTGATAACTCTTTTACCCTGAAAAATAGGTAAGTTACAATATGACAATGTTGGAACACAATATGATTTTATGAAGTTCTCAATAGTTCCTATTACACAAAAGATTTAAATACATAACCTTTGTCCTAAATCAATGCAAATTATTGATACTTTATATCTAAATTTGAAAAAGTAGCCACAAGGGAATGAATGAATAAAAACTCTTACCACTTGACAATACCACAACCGGCTCTATAAACCTCTGTTCATCTGCTGATGGTAGGTTTAGGGAGATGATTAATACCATTCCAAGACTGGTTCCAACAAACAGACAAGGAGAGACAGTAGAGTCATTTTTCCGTGCGAAGGATTCCATGAAGTATAAAGCTGTAATTGCTTCTTTAGAATCTTTGTCAATACTGGAGATACTAGAGCTTCTGGAACGATTATATGAATTCTCTCGGTTTTCTATGGAAATTTAAAAAGACTAAAATGAAGTATCAGTGTATTTACAAAACAAGTAAAGTCAAATTTAATACATGAAAACCAAAAAGTGTGAATATAAAGAATTTAATTCTTCATTAATTGACTTGGAAGGTAGTTTATCCAGCTTTGCACCAGCTTATGTTGAAGGTGGAGAGACTGAAGCTGGAAAGCAGACTTAAATAGTCAAGCTTATAAGAATTTCTGATACAGTTTTAATTGCACTTCCTTCCTATCTCTCAATTGTTCAAAGTATTCCTAATGATTTATTGCAGTTCCAATGTACTGACAATATTATGGCTACTGACATGAGAGGAACTACCTGAAATATTCTGTGACAAATACATTGGATGATCTGGGGAAATTATGAGTGGAAAAATTAAAATTTTACCAAGGCCTAAATGCAAATAGTATTTTTCTGAATTTGTTTGAATCAAATCTAGTTCTAATTTTGCCTAGAACCAAAGGAGCTATAGATTATGCCATCCTGTCAGTGGTGGTAATCTTTCTGAGAGGGCTTTAGTCCACTTAAAGGAAAGAGAATGGCCTCAGATCCTCTTGCTTATCAACACTTGCTCATGTGCATACTCCAACAAGCATAAACTCACCCATTTTAATTAAATGTTAATAGTGTTGTACTGTTCTTTTACTGCTCCAGGGTATAAGCTCCTCTTATTTTTCTTTTTACTGTCTTCACTCTTTTCCCTCTTGATAGGTCCAAATGTGCCTCCTAATTATTTTTGTAAAAGAGACTAAATATGACTCCTCAGAATATTTTTCCATGAAACAAAATATAGTATTCTTAATTTTCCCTTTCTATGTCTCAGCAAATTTATAAGTTTTTCATAAAACTTAGAGATTAGAGGTAGATAATCTATTTATTTTATAGATTTGAAGACAGAGACTTAGAGTTCAGTAATTTCCCCAGAATCCAGCACAAATTAGAGGCACAAATATCTAAAACTCAAATTTGGCAGCACTAGTAAAGTGATTAAAAGAGCATTATTTCTTTTATAACCCTTACGTGTTGCTTCTAGTTCAACCTTCCAGCTAATATATTTTTCCCAAACTTTTAACTGGTGGTTTGTTACCATTTGAAAGTTCACAGACTCCTGTGAGAGAGGACACCATTATCTGCACGTTCACAGGGCCAGATTCAATACAACATAATGTTAAAGAAACAAAAATTGAACAATAAATTTTACTTTAAATATTTTGAAGAATATAGATTATCAAAAATCTTAAGAGGGGCTGGGATTGTGGCTCAGTGGTAGAACACTCATCTAGCACATGCGAGGCCCTGGGTTTGATCCTCAGCACCACATAAAAATAAATAAATAAAGGTATTGTTTCCAACCACTTTCAAAAAAATAAAAAATGTTTAAAAAACCCTAAGAGATATTAAATAAGGAATTATTCTTAGAATAGCAAATCATCCTAAAATGATTTTTTTCCCTTTCTCTCTTCCTAAAATTTCTTATTAACAGGAGAGCAGCAGCAAAGTTAAAAGATTCCCCTTTCTTTTCCTTTCTTAACAGCTCCAGTCTTTGGTTCTGGTACTTTATTCCATGGCCCCATACTCATTCCATAAAAAAGCAAACAGACCTTCCTTTTTAAAATATATGAAGATGAAGTTCTAAGCTTGAGAATAAAATATTTTTTCTTGTCACCTTCATTTGACAGTTGAGGAAATTAAGCTTGTAAGACACTAAATAACTATCTACAGACAGAGATGCTAATTTTTATTGGAAGGATAGAGAATAGATTAAGGCATAGGTTTTCTGTTTTATAGAGTGGGTGGAGTCTCTCTATAGTGGAGTCATTCTCATTTTAGAGATGACTAAAGAAGTGAGGTAAGAAATGGATTTGGAGTTAGCTGCAGCCCCACCAGGCTCTCAGTGACTCATTGTCTAGTAGATATTTGTATCTTTTCAATGTGATTTCCATTCCTTGTTCACAGCACTTGTTTCCATTGTAAACCAAATTTTATCTGTAACCAACAAAATTGCTATGTTTAGCCTACCTTCTGTTGTAACTGGTAAAGAAATCTCCATGCAAGCAGCTGACTGAGCCTTTCGAAATGGGGGTCTTGCAGGACCCCAGCGATTTATTTTTGAAACATCAGCACTAGAAAGACGTTTTCCAGAACTGCAACTCTGAGAGGTTGGACTTGTGCAATGTCCATTTACATGGTCTGTGCCAAGAGGAAGAAGGCAGTGTAAATATCATAATTAAATCTTCACATAAAGGAACTGAAAGATGTAGATTAACAAATGAAAAGGAGTAAGAATCCCTTTTGTTCTGAACCATATAAATATGGCTCAGTCCTTGCTGTTTTTAGTTAGCAAAATATTTAAAATATATTTAATTTTAAGGAGTATTTTTATAATTTGACTAACATAGTTTAAAATTTATTCTACATCTCCACTATGTCCTTTATTATTTAATGGCAATATGAAATAAGTTATAATCTTGGACTTTTGTTACATAAATTAAATATACTCTAATTTATGTAAGTCTTGGAAGTACTTTCAGTACCTAGAGTTTAAATTTTTTTAGAACAGGAACATTTTGTAGCTGAGAATAGCAATTAAGAATATTGGGAGCCAGGCTGTCTGGGCATAAATTCTAGTTCTGCATCTTATTAGCTATATAAATTACTAAAATTCTCCATGCTTTAGTTTCTTCATCTGTAAATCTGAAATATTATTATCTGCCCCATGGAGTTTTGTGATTTTTGTGTGTGTACATGTGTATACATATGTGTAATTGTACATGTCACATGCCCAAATACATGCTGGCATACAGTGCACACTGAAAAAATATTATTATTATTACTCTTGTCCCAGAGTATAAAACTGCTCATGTCCAAATGATTACTGTTTATTTAGGCCTTGTGAGTTAAGCTTTGATTTGACATAACTGAAAAAAGAACAAAACAAAAAGAAGAAAAAAAACCCTTGAGGGTGGGGTTATAGTCATGCTAGGGGTACTAGCATGCCCTGGGTTCAATCAACTAAAAATATATTTTCTTATGTTTCTTAAAGATAACAAATTGTGTTTCAAACATTACCTTATAATCTTGCAATACACAGAACACATTTTGAAATGTGCTTCTTTGGTCATCCAAAGGATGATAGTTACATGCAGAAGAATGCTTAATACTACAGTGGACACATGGAACTAGTATTTGGTATGTACTTATAGCTAGTCAAGGGCGATAAAGGAATTTTAATATGTTAGCATGTGTTTTTTTAAATGAGAGTTAATATAAAATATTTAATTAGTGGGAACATTATAATACTATCTCATTTAATCTTCACAAAATGCTTCAATAGAGGTGCTTTTATTATTATCATTCTAATAATACAGATAAGGAAATCAAGCTCAGAAAAAAGGGTTCAGAAAATTTTCTCCTATTACCTACATGGCAATTGTGTAGGCAGAATTCTAACCCAGATTTTCTCAGTTAATATCTGTATGCTTAAAAACTGGAGCACAGGGTTAGCTAAGTATTTGGCAATGGATAACAATTTTGAAGACATATTTAGTAGGGTTTGGGAAGCAGATGTAATAAACACTGAGATCCAAGCCTTTTAGAACCAATCACTCCCCATTTTGACATAATATCTCTGGAAAGGCAGAAATATTTCATGGTGAAGCTTTAGTCAAGAACTCTGAGATTCCTCTTCTTTATCAAATCTAGACTTATAAATAGGAAGAATACTGAGGTCAACAGCTGGCATGAACAACTTCGTATGAATTAGAAAATGGCAACTACTGTAGAGGGGCAATGGCAACAACATGCCCCCTCTGAACTAGCCACAACCCTGGGTATATCCTTTGAAAAAAAACTTCCTTTTTCACAGACATGAGACCCTGCTCTAGGGGTCACAGTTTGTTCAAAGGAAAGTGGAATGAATTTCAGCCCTCTTCATACAAAAGTATGGCAGAGCCTTGAGAACAGGGAAATTTATCCACTTAGCCAGAACTCTTTGGACTTGCTAAACCGAAGCCATACCTGCCTAGCTGTTACCATCTTTTGGTGGTTGTTTCATGTAAATATGTCTAATTTCAGCTCATAACAGAGCAGTATCAATTAATATTACTCAATATACTTTTTCTTTTTTTTTTGCCCTATCTGCTGTGGTGGCCCAATTTCCCCCAGCTTCTCATTTTTGATTGGCTTACATTACCACACACAGGCACACCAGAGTTCTGTTTTCAATAGGGCTGATTAACTTTTTAGTAGTTTAAATGTTTAAATATATAGGAATGAATTTTCATTTTTAATATCTCTATCATCTTGCTAAATATTCAAGATAAATGTGAATTGGTATAAAACATTTAGAAAGCCAAGCACAGTGGAGCATGACTATAATCCCAGAAGCTTTGGAGGATGAAGCAGGAGGATTGTGAGTTCAAAGCCAGCCTCAGCAAAAGTGAGGTATTAAGCAACTCAGCGAGACCCTGTCTCTAAATAAAATACAAAATAGGGCTGGGGATGGGGCTCGGTGTTTGAGTGCCCCTGAGTTCAATCCCGGTACCAAAAACAAAACAAAACAAAACAAAAAAACCCAAACTTTTAGAAAGAAATTTAGTTATAGCTTAGATACAGTCATTCTGGAAACTTATGATAAAGAAATAATGCTAAATACACAATAAAAATATAAATATCTATTGATAAAGATATTCACTACAGTGTTAGATTAAAGACTAATTGGAAACCAGTTATCCTTTACAATCAAATAAAAGGCTTTAGGTAAATTGTTGTATATATCCTATACAGAGATATACTGAGTATTATCGTCTTTTAAAATATTTTGAAGTGCTTATAAAAACACATAAAATATGAATGCTATTATGTTTTGGTTATTTTCTGTTGTGTGCGCGCGCACACACACACGCACGCACACACACACACGCACGCACACACACACACACACAAAACAGAACAACCACAAAAAACCACTCCAAAGTTGATGTGTAACAACAATAATTTTATTGTGCTCACAGATTCTGTAGGCCAGGACTTTTACTAACTAGGTAAGTGTGGATGTCTTATCTGCATGATGGCATGGGGGCATTAGTTGAGAATGCTTCACTGGATGGGGACTTTGATTCCTTTGTATTCTCACATGCCTGGCCCACAATCATGCAAAGGCTGAGATGGGTGGGAACTGTCAATGGAGGCAGTTCAAGAGGTTTATGCTTCAGAAGTTTTGGGAATGGTGGCCTCAGGGTAGTTGGCCAGATGTCTCAGGGTTCAAAGGGTCTGGAAAATAATTTTTAAGATGGGATGGAAGCAATTTTTCTGCTTCTTTGGACATTGCAATGATGGCTTTATTTGGTTTTGAAAGCAACTTTTCAGAGCCCAGTCAAGAGGCCACTTAGTATATCAAAAGACAACTATTGTGGTAGATTCCTGATCTTACTTCTAGCAATATGTTCTTAAATTCAACAGTTGATTGGCAGTGATGTTCTGGTTTTCCACCTGTAGTAAAGGTGTCTGGTCCTTTAGTACATCTGTATATTGACCTTATTCTAAAAGTCACACCTGTAGACCAAGCTTAGAGTCCACATCTCTAGTTTCTTAAGGATCTGATAAGTACATACTTTCTTGTACTAATCTCTTTCTGCATGACATAGCCAGCCAGAATGAATGGCTCCTATTTCTTACAGCTGCCCCCTGATTATATTGGTGATTTAGTCCAGCTGTCATGTACTCCAGTAATATAACATGTAGAGAAAATTTAACATTCTAAAAATTTCAGCCTTAAAGCAATAATTAAAGTTAAGGGACATGGCTATTCTCTATTTTAGACAAAAATTCTCAAATTTTAAAAATTACACATTTAAAAAAATCATTAAATAAAGAAATGACTTACTAAAAATGTCATATTGTATTCAACTGAAGTTATTTTAAAAATTATCACTTACTAAGGCTTTGTAGAAGACTGCAAATAAAGATTTGATTTAATATGAGTTTTGTTAAACAAAATTTTTAATATACATTTCCCAGAAAATTAAAAATTCTATGCCATAGAGGTTGACTCTATGATGAAATAAATGTTGAACTAAATAAAAAATGAGCACTGGATTTTAAAAACCATGAAGATAAATAAAATACAAAACTCTGCACTTAACCATATTAATTATAGCCAATATAAAACAATTGATTCAAATAATTGAAAATCCACATTAACTTTATTCTTGCCCTACTTTTATAGTCAATTCTTTGTCTCCTTCCTTCATCATTGTTCATGTAACCCTAGTTAGGGGACAAGGCCTATCAATCAATTTAATGTTGGTTGGTTGTCTGATTTTGTTTAAGCAAGAAAAGAATTTCTCAAAGTATATTCACAGTTCAAAATCTCAGGGAGGGGCTGGGGTTGTGGTTCAGTAGTATAGCACTTGCCTTGCATGAGTGAGGCCCTGGATTCGATCCTCAACACCACATAAAAATAAATAAATAAAAATTAAAGATATTAAAAAAAAATCTCAGGGAGAACCTATGAGGTATATTCAGAAGCTTTGCAGGCCAAAATAATGTTCAACCACACTAGAGGTCATAGAGCAAGAATACAATTTATATGTGCTTTTTGTCTGGATTCTTTCATGTTGTATGTGTCAATCATTTTTTAAAAAATAATATTGATTTTTTAGTTGTAGTTGGACACAATACTTTTATTTATCTATTTTTATGTGGAGCTGAGGATCAAACCCAGGGCCTCGCACCTGCTAGGCAAGTGCTCTACTGCTGAGCCACAATCTCAACCCCCTAGTCATTTCTTTTTATTGCTGAGTAGTATTCCACTGTCTGGATATGCCACAATTTAACAAGTCATCCACCTTTTGATGGATACTTGGGACTTTTCAGACATCAATTATCTTTCAGAGAGATTTAAAAATGAAGTAAATATTCTTGCTTACCCACATATTTACCATTTATAATGCTCTTCATTCCTCTGTGTAGATTCAGATTACCCTCAGAACTGTTTTCCTTCTCTCTGAAAGACTTGCTACAGCATTTCTTAAAGCACTTTATATTTGGTGCTGGATTCTTTCAGCTTTTGTTTCTCTGAAAAAGCATTGGTTTCCCCTTCATTTTAAAAAGATATTTATGTTGGGTACAAAATTCTAGTTGGACAATTTTTCCTTCAATAGTTTAAAAATGTTCTTCCACTGTCTTCT